GGGTTTAGGGGTTTAAGTTTTAGGATTCAGGCAATAGGGCTTGGAGTCTAGGGCTAGAGTTTAAGCGTTGTTTAGGGAACCGTCTACACATGAGTGTCTCGGTGTTCTTGGGGTCATCTTACGCCTAAACGCTAAACCCTAAAGCCTAAACTCAAAAAACTAAACCCTAAACCCTGAAGCGAAAGCTGCTTTAGTTTGTTATCGAGTGCTGGTATTGTCAAAACTACTTGGGGGCTCATGGGAGTGAGTAACTATTTAGGTTTAGGGCTTTAGGGCTTAGGGTTAGGGACTTTGTAACTATTTATAACTGGGCCTATAACCCTACTTATACTTGGGGTAAACCCTATAAGCACTTAGGGTAGAGGGATTATAATTAAGGTTCTAAGCCCAGTTATAAGTAGTTAGTAAGTCCCATGGGCCTGCAAGTAAACCCTAAACCCTACACCCTAAACCCTCAACCCTCAACCCTAAACCAACCAGCTCAAGCCCCTCCCAGGTAAAGTGGAAGTGTCCACGACTGACCTAAGGGCCGAAGGATTCAAATCATCGGGTATTAGGGCCCGAACACTGTAATCTGAATGGTTTTGGGGAGCTAAAGCCCTATCATTGGGGTCCTTGGACCCTTAGGGAGAACAAGGAAAGTTCAACAGTTCAACAAGCATCTTAAACTACCGCCAGGCAGTCACCCCAGGGCTCCCAATACCCCAGGGCGGCATTGAATAGGTAAAGACTTGAGGAGAACAGGTCTCTAAGGGATTTGGAACCCCAGTAGCAATTATTCATTTCAGCTAAATATTAGGATTCTAGGTAACAGAAATTCAAAACTATTTTCAGGAACCTTGTAGATGCAGGTATTCTCCATAAACGTAAAGATTGGCTACTGCCCCCCCCCCATCCTGTAGCAGTCTATGTTAGAGGTCATATTACGGGCTATATATACACCTATATTGTAAATCTTATCCATCCGTTACAGTACCCTAAACCCCTAAACCCTAAACCCATGGGAGCAGTACCCAACTAAAAGACCCCAGGGTCAATTCTTCTGGCAGCTGGACGCCTTCAGAACTCTGCACCAGGAAGTAGCCAAAAGCCAACTGTTGAAGTCCACGCGGTAGACTCACACCTCAGGCTTTAGGGTTTAGGAGTTTAGGGTTTGGGGTCAA